GCCTAATCAAGAAGTTAAGGGATCTGTTGGCTTAGCAGGTGCCTCAATTGTGCATAATTAGTTGTTAGGAATCATTTAGCATAGACTGATTAGTCTTAGGCAAAGGAAATTATTATTATTTTTTTAATTTTTCTTTTCTTCAAGAAAGCCCAGCACACAGCTAAAGAATCTCAAAACCTAATCACATTCATTTCCTCTGGGAAATGCAGACCCAGAGCATGGAGAGGTAGTAGATGAAGAAGAACCAGAATGAGTATAAATTGGCTGTTTGATGCCACGCAACCACTGAAGGATATGAGAACAGGAAGAGAGAGGGATCTGTGTCCATTCCTCAAGATGTGATTCTCCACTCCAACACGGGCTTTGATTGTGATGCCGAGTGAAGCCTCCCCCTTAGGTACCTGCTGTTTACTTTCCACATTTAGAAACCCCAGTTTCACTTGCAATATGTAATCAAAACAAATGATCTGTCTTTGCCCCTCCTGTGTTTGGCATGTGAAGAGATTGGACAAGTTGGGGGAAAGGAGAGGGACAGATGGTCTCCCCCATTGTTCCATTTCTGTTTGAAAAATACGCTTGACTAAACACTTTCTGTGTTTCTGTCATAGTGTCAGCTCTCCATTTATTGGAGGGCATTTTCACTAGCCGGATGGGAGGTCTATAAAGACGAGCCATGTTCTCTTTGATGGCCAATATGCAGCCCCTATAATACTGGTGGTCATCGTGTGTGACAGTGATATCTAGCTGCTCAGATCACATTAGAAAAGGCTGACAGTTCTGATACCTTGAGATGCCTTAATGATCACTTGCAGCATTCATTTCAGGGAGCAGTGGCTCACTCACTGAATGTCTGTTTTGTCCCTATAGTGACTTTCAATAAGAACTCCTTATTCATAGGATGTACCATCAAAGTCAAGATTCAGAGTCTGGACTGAATGTAAAAATTTTTTACAGGCATTTTAATTTTTTAGTTTTTTGACATTATGAGATTTCTCCCCTCAGATGTGGTCACCAAAGCCCCTAGAATCCTCCACTGTAGCCCAGTGTGTTTTCCCTGCACCTCCCATCTATCCTCCCTTCTGGCTGTTAAAGGCATTGTTTTAAAGATTTTTTGATCAATTCTTTGGCAATCTACAGCAAACTCTATAATATTGAAATATATATTTTTAACATACATTATTATTTGATAGCTATTGTGTGGTGGCAAGAATTTAAAAAAGAAACAGACAGCAAACCTATAGGAAAAGAAAGAGGAAGGAGGAAGTGTAACTCTAACAGTGATCTGACTTTTGGGGGAGTTGCTTTCTTACAATAAATGTTCTCATTTGAGAAGCTGTATAGAATTTATTCACGCACTAGCATGAATATTTAATAAATGTCTAGTGTGTATTGAGCCCTGCTAGTTCCTTTCTAGTTATCTGACCTATTTTTTATTTCATTTATGTAACTGGTTGGAACTCTAGTTAGTATTTCCCTGATAAAGAAGAATTAGCTCATGTCTTGTGGTTCACTGAAGCTTTTGATGCTCTTCCTATAGAGTGGTGAGTTATGTCTGACATTTCCTTAGAAATTTTTTTTCTTCAAGAAAAGTGGATGAAAAAGTACAAGTTGGTTTTGTACTGTAATTTTTAGTTTATTTTTGTTTAGGTAAACAAGTACATGGTGTAAAGAGAAATGAGACTTATATACACAAAAGGTATGGACTATGTTCATTTGTGTAAGTTTCTCCATAAGAATGAAGTTAGAAGGAAAAAAAAAATATCGAATGGTTTCACTTATAGGAGGAATATAAGAGAACCAATATAAGACATAGGGGAAAAAATAATAATAACAATACAAAACACAACACAACATAACAAAAACAATTATAAACCAGAGCTATCCTGCAAGGGAGGAGGAGAGGGAGGGAGGAGGTGTGCGGGAGCTGTGGCGATGGTGCACAGATGAATTGGGAGAGGGGGAAGAGTAAACATTGTTTAAAATGAACCACAATGTATATTGATATATAAGTAAATTAATTTAATTTAAAAATTTAAAAAAAATGAAGTTAATTCGCACTCAGCTGGAGCAGCATGCCTGGCCACGTACCTGTATGATACAGAATGCATACGTGCAGACTTCCGGAGTCTCACTGTTCATCCAAAAGGAATGAATAAGGAGGAAAGAGCCTGGGAATAAGAAGAGCAGCAACTCAGTCTAGACTCACTTTAGATGTGTGTCCCTTTATAAATGTGCTTCTCTGGGCCTCCTTCCAACTTTAAAATGAAAGTATGCTCTGCTCTAGATCAGCCCTTATAATCATAAAATTCTAGGGATATAGCTACAAATCTCCACTAAGGATTCATGACACCACCACACAAATCTCTCTAGCACTCTACAACTTTATCTCAAAGAATAAATAGGTATCTCTTTAATTTTTTTTTAACTTTTAATGTGGCTTAATGGCTCTATCAGTTACTCATTCAGTTTCTTCTCTCCTCTATTTCCAAGCAGAATTTCCAACCAAGAGTTGACTTTGAGTAGATCACATTAAGAGAGTTGGTGTCCACTCGGGTGGAGAAGTTGTTTTGAAGGCCTGTGCTCCTCTCAGATGTGTAAAAGTGAGACCGTCTCAGAGAGCTTGCTAAAAGACACAGCCATCCCGTGCTGTCACGCAGCTCTGCTGTGTTCTCCTTCACTCTCATGATGAATGCTACCGAGATCCGCTTCCACTAGGAATTACTGCTTCTACCTGAGTGACTTTGGCAAGCTATTCTTAGATAATATGGAGCTTATTTTAGTGTGGCCCTTTGGCTGATACTCCTTTTGACTTCCTCATAATCGTTTACTTTCACCCATGCTCTGTGAGGACTCTATGCTGGGAGTGGGGGAAGGCTGGGAGGTGGAGCTGTAGAGACTAGCCATACATGAGGCCAGCTCAGCCTTTTAAGGATAGCTACTCTCTCTCCTCTACTGGTCAGGGAAACTGTTTCAAACATAAACGAGACAACAGTTTGTCCAGGGTTGATTTCTTCTGTAATGCAAACTGGGTAAATTCCTAAAGACATACCTCCCTAAAAAGAGTAGAAACTCAGAGTATCCTGGGTAAATCTCTTACTGCCCTTTAAGAAAATCCAACACTGGATTCAACCCAAAACTTTAATTGGCTGGAATCTTGACAAATTAAAAAATTGAGGAAACCTTTTGGCTTCCAGGATGTTCCTAAAACTGATTGTTATGATCTGTATCTCCTGGCTCAGGGCTCTATACTCATATAGTTTCAAGTTTTGCACAATGAAAGGAAATATGTTTTTAAATCAGTTTTATAAAGAATCCAGCTTTTAATATACGGTATGTTTCTTTTCAGAGGTGCTATGTAAAGTATATTGCTGTTACTGAATCAACACTGAGAGAAAAAATGCTCAAATACACATGGCGAATGGCTGGGGGGGGGAAGAGGCTTACGGTGAAAGGCTTACATTTTGTTTTGTGGTTGGTGATTACATTCAAAATATGTCTGCAAAGAGAAGAATCAAAGATCTAGGAGACTGCTTCATAAGCAGAAATGATACTGTTGATTGTATTGGTACATTAAAGTTGCTACTTTATGGTTGGAGGAATATAAAGAATTGTGTGACAAATGAAACATAAACATGTAACAGCGTGACTTCCATTTTTTAAGTTAATTGCAGCTTGTAGCAATGTTAATCTTTCCCTTTTTTGTCACTGCTTATAAAGACCTTGTTAGGTTTATGAAGAAATCGTGAATCATTTCAACCAGCAGTGCATTCCAGAGAGGAATCAAGTTCCTCAATTTTGAAACAGAAATCTCTTAGTTGGGAGAATAATGTTTTTAGCTGTCAAAATCTTGTTGCTGAAGTTAATCCTTATTGTATTTAATAGTCTCACATATACAATATGGGTCTTTTTAATGAATTTCTATTACAACAAAAACAACAAACCAACCTCACAGTGTGGCCAGAGTGACATTTGGGTCCTGTGACTTAAGCCTAGATCACTAAGCTATGTAATACAAGGCCATACATATCTTATTCTTGAAAACATCTCAGGTTGTTATTCAGACATCTCTTCCTTTACACAAATGTCCCATGCAAAGTAGGAATAATTCTTCCTTTCTATTTTAACCCTGATATTCACCACCCTAAATCATGACTCCTATATTCTAATTAAGTTCTCTTCTCGACTCTGTTCAAAGCACTTGACTTAGAATTTGACGGATCCAGCACCTCTGCCTCTGTCCCCAATGTTGTTCTCATTCAGCTTCTTGCCTAACTCACACCTATGCTGAGCTTTAATCCTTCTTTCTTCAGTTGCTCTTTTTTTATGGTGCTGCGGATTATTCTCATCTCTTTCTAAAAGAAGACAAATAAATAAGCTCATTGCAGTCTATGTTTTATTTTGCCAAACCACCACTCCTGCCCTCTTCCATCCTCGGTTCTCTGGCGTTTGAATCCCCCTTTTCTTCCATTTGCGCTAATAGCCAGCTCGCTGCCATGAGGAGCCCTCTAATTCTGTTTGTCTTTATTTCTCTGCAATACTAATGCCCTGTCACCTGCTTACCAGAAATGTAACATTTCATTTCCTTTGTTCTTCTGCCTGATTATTCTTTGTGCCCACTGAGCCATTCTATTCCTTCTTTGTCTTCTGTTACTGATATTCACTGAAACTTGTTTATCAATTAATATAGGTTGGCAGGCAAATAATTTGTGCACTATATTTGCATACTTCTTAACACTTTATGCCTTCGTGTGTGTTCGGTCCTCACAATCCTGAGTTGAGAAAGTATATCCCTCTTTTCTAGGAGAGAAAGTTGATGTTCAGAGGCTTTTAAATGTCCTGTTCCACAGCTTAACCAAGATTAGGACCCAGGTCTACTGCCTCTTCCTACCGCACCATACCTTATCACCTCTCTCTGGCAGAAGGATTGCAATCCATTAAAAATCTTCACGGCATTGGAAACTGGATGGAAATTAACCAAACCCTTCATTGTACCTTTGCAGATGACAGTCCCTACACTAAATCTGCCAGCCAGACAAAGCCGCCTGATGGAGCATTGGCTGTGAGGAGACAGAGCATTCCAGGTTAGACCAGACTTGGATTTTTCAGCTGTTTTTCCTTTGAACCCTGTTATTTGGTGATCCTACGTCGTTCCAACTTGGTAATAAAAATCATGCTATGTCATCAGCACTGACTGCATCCTGCACAATATGTTCAGCAATATTCATAAAAAGTAGACTTTGGAAAAGCTGCCAACTTGTGAGAAGTCATCTGTGTGCAAATCCTCTGTAAAATGACTTGAATTTATATCAGCTGTTGCTCATTTACTTACTCTCACCTCTGTTTTCAGGGATGACTCTCACAGCATCTATTTCTTTATTGAAGCATACTTGCAGACAAAGGGTTCAGAATTGCTATAGCGGATCATATATCTGTGGAATAAAAAAATTACTCCTTTCTTCTTATCTCTTTGAAATCGAATTTACTTCCATTGGATAACTCTTGCAGCACTGGGATTTTGTATTCTTACAAAACTGCGATTCATATTCTTGTAATGCCAATAAGTATACCTTTTTTTTTTTTTCAACAAACCATTTTGGAGAAATATCTTAAAATGCCTTTGCCCAGAATGTCAATATTTTGAAGCATTTAATTTGGGAATGACACAAAAGTTCTTAAATTGGGGGGGGGAACAAAATTCAAATTATCATCTAAACTTGATCCAATTAGGTAATTCTTAGAAAACCTCTATGGAAAGCAGCTGTGCTCGAGGAAAGGGTTAAAAGCATTATTGCATTTCAGACATTTATCTAAAACTATGTCCTTCTGTATTTTATACATGTAATTGAGTACCTATGGGATTTAGAGGACTGGAGTTCTAGCAGTTCAGGAGCAACAGCTGTATTCTCAACATTAAATTGAATGGTTTGGCAAAGATGTCAGTGAAAGGGGGGTTCTCCATTTGACCAAGGAGCAAGATAGGCCACTTTCTGAGCAGCTGAGCTCATGATTGTTATTTACTTTCATAAGAACTACATATGGTTGTTTTTACTCTTTGAAAGTTTGGATTTGTTATGAATGTGCATGGCTCCGAGAGAGGTGTATTGCACCTACTAACCTTGTTTGCATGTTTTGGAGATTCTAAAGCAATTTGAATCCTCTCTATAAACGACATCAGGTAGTGCTGAGATTTCTTCTATTCCACACTATAAGACATCATTCTTAGTATTGGTCACATTCAGAAAAAGTCAACAGTAGCCTGTCTTCTCAGCATTCTCTTGTCAGCAATATGAACACCCACAGTTTGAAGTTCAAGAATGCCAGCTTTCCATCACTTCCTTCTGGGCCTCTGCTCAGTATTCAGAATGAAGAAACTTCCCAATATCCTTACCACTTTATGTAATACTAATTAAAGCATTATCATGTTTCCCTTCATGAGTTCTCTAATGGTAAATGCTAAATGATAATGCATGTTTGAGGGCCAGACTTTTCCTTCAAGTCATTAAGTCATTTTTTAAATTACATGTTAGCTATATAGAAGCTGTTAATCATAATTCTTAGTTCATGATGCCCAAGTGATTCTTTGTGATAGAATTTTCCCTTTCATTACTCCTAAAGCAATTCAAATGTCAGCAGTCTTGAACCTTTTGTGTAGATTTAATGGGTTCTTTTTCTGGAGTTTGAAAATGGGCAAACACCTTTTAGTTCATTTATCATAAGACAGCAGCCAGAAGGATCAGGGGTCTGCAAAATCTTCTCAGTTCTTTACAGGAGTACAAGTAAAAGAAGACTATACCAGATGGCTAAGAAAACGAAGTGATTAATAGCTGTTTATTGCTTCTGGTTCTCTTAAGGAGAAAATTAAGAGCCCTCTTGAAAACTGCTTCCTAACTGGCTTCAGAGAAGTTTTGAACCTTTACTTTAATGTCTTATTGAAAAGTATCCTTAATTCCTCATTTAGCATAAAGAAGTCACTTAAATCAAAGGGAGATCTAGCCCAGCATTCAGAAATCCTAATCAGCTCACTACCATGGTCATCTTTATCCACTAACTCCATAAGAAAGAGAAAGAGAAATGCAGAGAGGAAACAGGGAAATGCACACTGTTATTTGCTGCAGCTTCAGCTAGAAATCCCTAGCTGTTCTCCTGGTGGAGTAAATTGGACCACATGCAGCTATAAGTCGTAAATGCAAGTTCACAGCCTTTGTTCCTTGTTCCTGTGCTCTCCTTCTGATCAGACTTCCCTCAAAGCTATTACACCACCCTGGCAGCAAGGGAAGAAGTATCTTGAGAAAAGTGCTCCAAGAAATTGAAAGAAGGTTAAAGGAGATCTTGATTTATCTGTCAGGCCTGGATCTTCTCAGTGCAAAACACATACTCTAGGAACAGGCCACCCCATAACTACTTTGTTGTTCCATTTCTGGGGAGTAAGTAACCGAAGGAAATTGCAAACTTTAAAGAAGCTCTGCCTTTTCCTTATATCTCTCATGCAAACTCTTCTCTCAGTGACCGCATGGACGTAATTGAATTTGACCATTCTTTGAGTACTTTCCTATGCATCTCTTGATGCAAGGGGTGAGGATACAGCAAAGGAGGAGCATAGGGTAGCGGAGTATGAGAGCTTTTTAAGCTCCTTTATCCAAGTTTTCTGAAAACTTACATTGTTCCTTAAAACTTAATCTATAAACATAGACTTGGTGGTTCCTGTAGACAATATTTATACATATTATACATATACACATAGATAAGATTTCTTAACATGGACTCCACTATTTCAGCCTAATAACGTATAACTGCTAATAATTCTGTTCCAAAGAGCTAACTTTAAAATTAATTTGCTTTTCATTCACATCAAAGTCCATACCTCTCCCCAAACTTAAAATTATTATAGTAATTATTTTATAATCCTAAATCAAATATGTATCTTTCATTAAATGCCAATTCTAACTATAATCCTACAATCCCTGCCTGTTCTTTCACCCAGTGGAGAATGGATTAAACATCACTTAGGAACAAAATGCATTTACTTTGTATGAAAGAGAAATGCATTATTCATGTCAGTTGGAAAGCAGTCATTTAATTGCATCTCTATGATATAAAATGTTCTTATAATTTTTTGGTCTTTCATATTTAAAATTTTTGAATGATGATAGTAAAAACAACTGACAAGAGTATCCCTATGCTCATGAAGTTTAATTTAGAAATGTAACATTTTGTTCAAAAAGCATTAAGGAAGGGATATTTCCAGCCCCATTTCTGATTTCTTGTTTATGATTGATTTATTTATATAGAATTGGGGTACAAGCCAGAGGTGCAGGGGCAGTGAGAGGGCTCACCAGAATCAGAGTGGGGAACAGAACAGGCAGACTGATGAAGTACACTGCTGAGGGTTTTTTTTTTTTCCCATGGTTTTTGCAAAGATAAGATGAGTTCTAAGGATAAAGTTATTTTAAAATAAAAATGTATTGATCTGAGTATCCTTTATTTGAGCAATTACTGGCAAATTAAAGTATGACCACTTGAAGGACTTGTCCAAATAATTAGAGAAAATTTGTACAGACTCTGGGTTTGACAGATTTTTCAATAATTTGTGGCTTACTAGAGATAAGACACTTCATCATGCCTGTCTAACATTAGTGAAGAGAAAAGACAGCATGCTACACTAGAACTCCAGGTCCAGAGTTAGTATATTATCTATTTGACTTTCCTCCTCTTTCCAGGAGGACATTTTTCTTTGCTTATGCTTTGACAAAGAATTTGAGGCAATTCACAAATGCAGGAGGATGCCAGTCACTCATATTCTTATATATTACTTTTCTAGCTTTGGTGCATCACAAATACTGGCTGCACTTTGTAGCCAGAAAAGTCCACAAACTTGGTGTTTTTTTTTTTCCTCCCTGAATATAAAGAAAGACACATCCATTTTATCAGATGGGTATGGAATTGATATCGGTCTTTTCCGCTTCTCACATGTGAATACTTGGGTATGGAACTGTGAATCTGAAATATGCAATCGCGCAAGAAATGTATACTCCAGCTGTTTGAAATACATCTACAGAAAGTCAGAATCCAACCAGGTGTCAGAAACCAAAGTCAGAAAATAACACATAGGTGAGCACCACAAAGAAGGTTGCAACCTTGAGTTAAGAAGGAAAGGACAGGAATTTTGAAGGTTCTGACCTTTCTGGTCAGCATCTTCCTGTCTTTGTTATGCACACAATTTGATGCTCCATTGGTCTAAATTTTCATTATTAGAGCTGGTAATACAGTGTGACATTTACACTGGGGTATTTGAGCTGTCACACTGGTCAGGTGTATGAAGGGCATTTACTCTGATTGCCAGGCTTGGTCCTGCTCCCTCTGTTTAGTTGCAACATTGAACCTCTCCAGAAAAGGGGTGAGTCAGGCAACTTATTGATTCATCCAAAGAAAGGTGTTGCACGATATGTGTGTAAATGTCACCCCATGGTACATTTTAAATATTTTATACTTCTGTCCATTGTACTTCAGCATAGCTAGGTCAAGGAAAGATAATGGGCCATTATGGTTGCAGTGTGCTCTTAAGTGACTTAAGAAAAATAGAAGTTGGTGTGTGTGTGTGTAGACAAAGGATGTGAAGGAGTGCTTTGAATGTTCTTGCCATTCTAGATTATAAGTATTTCAAAGTAGGAAGTTTTTATTTTTTTTAATAGAATGTGCTACAGGGCTGCCTAAAGATGCTGAGTCAGACTGCTGTCAGGGAGGGCATGACCCACACAGAGACACCGGCAATACCAAGGGACATGTGCCATCGCTATGCTGCCTGACCCTGCACCCCAGGGACAGAGGCCAGGTCAGCAGGGTGTGCCCTGTCAGAAGCACTCACTGTCAGCATCAAGAACCCAAAGCAAAGATGTTCGCAGGTAGCAACCTAACTAATCTATTTATCATTTCTTTTTTAAAAGATGTATTTATTTATGCATAAAAGAGCTGAGTGGGGGGGGGCGGTAGGGCAGGGGTTTGAGGTGAGAGGATTCACCAGAGACAGAGTAGGGAGCAGAACAGGCAGATCTACTGAGATCCACTGCTAGGGGAGCAGCGGGCA